CCTGCTGCTGCTGCGGTAGCAAGGGCAAGCTTCGCTGCTGCCCTTCGCTGCCCGGCTTTGCAAGGGCCTTGGCGCTGCCCCTGGGGCTCACTGATGCTCTCCGGGCTGCCCGAGCATACACCAGAGAGCAGATCAGAGCTGTTGCAAAGGCCCTGGGTAGGGCTGCGGGCTGGATGTGATGTCCCCTTCTCCTCCCCACCGCGTCCCCACCGGTTAAAGGCCAAGGTTGGACTCCATTTCCCATGATGCCTCAGTTTGTTCTGGAGTGGGGGTAGCCTTTTGGGAGCAGCTGAAAGAGAGCCAGCGAAGGCACTGCTGAGTCCACATCCTCTGCATCAACACATGCATGTGGGTGTGCATAGGCATGCATGTGTGCCTGCCTGTAGATGCAAGCATGCACATGCAAGTGTGTTTGCACTCACGTCACTCATGCATGGCTGCAGCACAGGCAGGGTTGGTCCTCCTCTCGGGGATGGTGGTGCCTCGGTGATGCAGGGCTCCTGACAGGGCTGGGCATGTTAGCTGGCACCTTCCACCTACCTCGGCAGGTGTTTTTTGGCTGCTCCGGCAACTTCTGGGGCATCTCTTGGGCAGGGGTGCGGAGTCGCGGTGGCAGGGAGGATGCAGTGGGCATCACGTGCACTCACGGGCACATCCCTCCTACCTGGCTTGGGTGTCTCAGCTCCACCGCACCCCGGGCTCTCCTTTGTCTGTTGCATGGAGCAGGCAGGGCCACGGGACAAGCCCTGATCCCTCCTCTGCAGCCCACCCATGGGTGGATGGATGGGATGGGGTCTGTGGCCATGCAGAAAAACCCTCTGGCCCAGCTTGGATGCGGGGTGGGAGACAGCAACACTGTGTGCACAGGATGGGATGGGACGAAGAACAGCACGGGCCTGGAAAGGACCTTCCAGGCCCCAGGGCACATCATCCCACTCATACCCTGATCCATCTTCCCGTGGGGTTTCCTATCCTGAGGTTGCATTAGGGTTGACGGTAGTTTTATGAAGAGTTTACATGATGGATTGTGTCCGGTCATAGAAATCCCAGAGCCGTGGGGCTGGAAGAGACCTTGGGGGTGGTGGGGAGTCACATCTAGTCCAACCCCTGGCCTGAGGCAGGGTAAGCACTGTCCAAATCAACCCAGACAAGTCCATCACCTAAAAAATTCTTAGTAAAATGAGCATCAGCCCTGACACCAGGCATCACCCTTGAACCTGCCACAGCAAAACAGGGGGACCACGGTGACCAGTGTCCTGCTGCTGCAAAGGTTGTTAATCGATGCTGGAGAAACCCCAGGTAGAGGCCGGAGGGCAAACCCCACCCAGAAGAGGGCAAACCCCACCCCAGTCCATACCAATGTGACTCGGGGAAATCCCTTCCTGACCCCAAATGCAGCATCCGTCTGACCCTGAGCAGAGAGGTAAGACCCTCCAGCCGGGACCCTGCAGGGTTGGTCCCAGCAGGAGCATTTCTACCAGATTCCTGCTAATCTCTCTTCATTTCTTGAGGGTTAACCATAACCACCCTCTCTTCTTTTTTAATGGCCTTAATAGTCCACTCTTCAAACTACCCTTTCCGGTGCCATTCTGTTGTCCCTTAGCCGTCTCTCTCCTATTTCACAGCCCTGCAGACGGTTTGTAGCGCTACCTGAAAACCTGAACTCAGGTGCGGTTGTATTAGCTCAGGTGTATCAATGACTGACCGTGACATACTGGAGGCAGTGGCAAGACATTCAAGAAGGCTTGATTTTGTTCTACGAATCTGAGTATGGGACGGACACGTAACTATAATGACTACAGGACGAATGACACAAGGTCCTTTGACTATGTTTAGTCTGCAGAAGAGAAGCCCGAGGGGGATTGAACAGCAGCCTTCACCTCCCTGCAGGGGGGCTGCAAAGAGGATGGAGCTGGGCTGGTCTCAGTGGGGGCAGATGATGAACAAGGAGCAATGGACTCAAGCTGCAGCAAGGGAAGTCGAGGTTGGATATTAGGAAAAACTTTCTCACTAGGAGGGTGGTGAAGCACCGGACCAGGCTTCCCAGAGAGGTGGTGCAGTCTCCATCCTTGGAGGTTTTGCAGCCCCAGGTAGACAAAGCCTTGTCTGGGATGATGTAGTTGGGGCTGGTCCTGCTTGGAGCAGGAGGCATCATTTAGGGCTTCTCATTTGTTTATTGATCTCTACAGAGAGGGGCCTGAGTGGTCTCTAGAGGAGGGGGAAAGCCAAGGCAATGGGGACTGTGGCAGCAGGGATAAACTGAAGCTGAGGACGAGCAGATTTCTAGCCCTCGGGACAGGACACGTCTAGACCACACCATAGCCACAAGATTTCCGTGATGCAACACGTGTCTCCCGCTGTTCTTCATTCACCATGTTTCATCTTTAAGGCTCCGCTACAACTTTCCTGGTCCTTGCTGCTTTGGGAGATCTGGTGTCCACAGGGGGGGACAGCCCCCAGCTCAAGGGAGAAGATGAGGGGAGACAGGGGCGACCCATGACGCTGTCCCCTGCACGCGTCGTTCTGCACTGCCACCCCCCAGGCCCTGGGTGTGAACGAGGAGTGGAGCGCCGGGCCGGCCGGTGGGGAGGCGTCGAGATGAGACGCCAGCGGTCTCTGTTTCTCGTCTGGAGAGGCAGGACGTGCAGTAAATTACCAGGCCGGGACCTTGGCCCCGGTGGAAGGATCAGAATGTGACCTACATAGTTGCTCTCCGCTTGCAAAGCGCCTGCAGCCCCCGGCGGCAAAGGCTCTGCTTCGAAAGGGGACCAAAAGCAACCTCCAGTAACAACCAGCACGTGCAGACTGGGAATCCCTACATGCTCCTTTCCTCCGGCTGCCCTACCGTGAGCCCTGCGAGCAGCCCCCGGGAACCGGGATCGATGGAGAGATGGTCATCCTGGAGTCACCGGGTGCAGAAAGAAACCCATGGGCAATGGGGAGCCTCCAGTCCTGTTCACTTCCCAGCAACTGGGGATCTTTCCAGGCCCGGTTCCTGGCGGGGGAGCCCGGACTGCCATGGGTAGAGGCAGGGCAAGGGAAAGCACCAGGGTCAAGCTGGCATCTTGTGTGCCGGCTGCTCCCAGCCCAGGTCCCTGGGTTACCTCCTCTGCCTGGTCATTCGGAGCCAGAAGTGAGATCATGCCCATCATCGGCTTCCAGAGCTGGGGAAGGAGAGATCGCAGCACGGAGCAATTACCGTCTGGGCTCTCTCTGGCCTGTCCACACCGCTGGGGAGCGCGATGCCCTGAGCGAGCCACCCCGCTCCATTGCTAGCAGGGTCATCAGTGATCACCACCCCTGTCCTGCACCCAGCACGCCTGGCAAGGCTTCAGCCCGGGAGGAGATGCAGTGTTTCTGCACCACCAACTCGGGTGTCCTTTCTGAGCTGGATTTCCCTGCCGCCTCTTCTCCTTCTTCCTCGCAGTCCTTTGCACTTGTCTGTATTGGATTTCCTCTCCTGGGGAGCAGGGCTGTGCTGCAGTTAGCAGGGTCCTTCCAAATGTGGATGCTGTCTCCACAAGTGCTGCAATCCTGACTATTGCAGACATGGCGGGGAGGGAGGGCAGCTTGCCTGGCAATGAACTCAAATGAAGGCCCTATTGTTTTGGGGAAAAGTCTCATCTCAGATGCAATCAGGACTCATATTAGACCAACAAGATTTTTGCAAAAAAAAAAAGTCTTATCCCAGATGCTTCACAGGTACTTGAAGTGGGACAAAAGGATTGTCCTTTTGTATTAGGCCTGGATGCAAAGGCTTTGCCCCGAGACTCTTTTCCCCCCTGGAGAAGCTAGCAAGGCCCCTCTGCTCCATCATCCATCCTGCAAAGCATTGAACAGCATCGGGCAGATGGGGTTCTTTGTGCAAATGTGATATATTTTATTAGACCAACTAAATAGTTGGAAAAATTGTTCTTTGCAAGCTTTTGGGTACCGACACCCTTCTTCAGGCATGGGAGAAAAGATTGCAAAAGTCCTACCCAGGAGAGGTTTTACAATCTTTCCTCCTGTGCCTGATGAAGGGTGCTTGTGCCCGAAAGCTTGCAATTAAAGGGGTTTTGTTTTGCAAAAATCTAGTTGTTTTGCAAAAATCTACCACGAGTCCTGATTCCTTTTCCCCACAGATAGTTGGGTATTTTTGTCTTTGATGGATTTCCAGTGTGCATTCATTCTGGCGCGCAGTTGTTGTTTGGTCTCTCCTATATAATTTCCATCAAGGCATTTGGTGCATTGGATGAGAGACATTACATTTTTGGAGATGCAGATGTAAGATCCACGAACAGCCTCAGACCCAGGACAGATGGGGTGGGAGACCTCACCTGGTCTGTCATGGGAATAAGACAGCGTACCCTTGAAACCAGGTTCTCCTCCTTCCGCCTATTGTGCTCCCACCCTCGTTAGCTCATAAGATCATTATGCAGGACCGGGTCCGAAGCCAGGCTGAAATCAAGCTGCCCTAAATCTCTGCCATCTCTGCGCCAGCAAGCTCCTTTCCCTCCGCAAAGCCATAGAGGCAGATTAGCTTGATGTGATCGGCTCTGGACAAAGCCACCTGGCTACTTCTTATCCCCTCATTATCCTGATTAGTTAGTCACTGACTTCAGAGCCTAGCCAAGCTGGGCTGACCATAGACTCAAATCATAGGAAATTCAGGTGGAAGGGAGCTCAGGAGGCCACATCTAGTCCAACCCCTGCTCCAAGCAGGACCAACTATATCATCCCAGCCTCCTTTCCCCACTTTAAGACAGCTATAGTTTTGGTTTTTGCCCTGTGCTCTGGGACCACCCCGTGCTCAGAGATCATCTCACCAGGCAAGGACCAGGGGTCGCAGGAGAACTAGTAGTAAGTTGGTGTTGGTGGCAGCCGCATTGGTGTAAGGACACAGACAGGCACAGTTCTTTGGGTAAATATGATACCTTTTATTAGACTTCTAGTAGTAAGTTGTAGCTTAAAAACCAACATCAGGCAGTATTTTTTTTCCACCCAGGTTGTCACTAAATTGAGAGGCTTGTTGCCGGTGGGTCTGGTGGAAGCCGAGCGGCCCTTGAACGTGCATGCCCGTGGTGACGGCTCCGTGGAGGAGCTGCCGGCTGGGGTCCCCGATGGCGCGCGGGATCAGGGTGAGACACGTGAGATGGGGCAAGGTGGAACTAGGGTCTGCCCCAGTGAAAGGCTGTTTTTGTGGCCTCGTGTCCAAAAAGATTAGTCAGGCGAGCATCCTAGATCCTCCAGCTGGATTTTGCCAGGCCCTTCTCGCTCGGACACACCTCGTTTCTCCGGCTGCTGCTTCCTTGCCCGGCTTGTGCTCCCGTTGCCAATAAAGCACGTCCTCTCGCCGGTCACAAATGCAGCTGCGGGGTGGACGCTTGATCCTCTCCACCTCCTCTGCCTCTCCCACGTTCGTTCACCTTCCCCGGGCAGCAACGGGGTTGCACGCGCCTTCCTCTTCTCCTCCTCCTCGCAGGCTTCTTCTGTTGCCTTGCTCCCTCCTGGTTGCAACTCCCTTGAGGCCTTCCCATCCAAGTCTCTCCCCTCCATCTCTTCTTCCATGTCATGTCACCTCATGTCCAGGTGTTTTGATAACTCAGATTGGCAGGGGCAATTGCCTGGGATCCGGGCCAGGCCATGGGGAGCTTGTCACCTCCACTGGGTGAATGCACATCTGGATCCAGTTGGATGCTGTGACTGGTTTGCCCCTGCAGCAGAGGCTGGGGCATGAATCGCAGAGCTGTTGGGTGTAGCTCATCCCGGGGCTTTGGGGTGGTAGGAAGGCAGGCATAGTCCTGGGTTTGTGTGGGCTGGTTTGCACAGGGCTGACCCTACTTCAGGCAGGGGTGGGACTAGACGTGACCTCTGGAGCTCCCTGGCAGCCCCACTTCTTTAGGATTTCTATGATCCTAAGCTGGAGCTATGTTTAGGGTCCTAGGATGGGAAAGCCTGACCTCTTCCACGGGTCATGCAGCATCCATGCTCCAGCCATGAAGAGGCACTGCTTAGGCAGAGACGTGTGGCTTTGCCCCCAGCAGGCTCTGTCTCCCCATGGTCTCCCTTGAGGATCATGCGAGGGTCCTGTGGTGGCTGTGGGGCAGTGGAGGGAGTGCTGGGGGGGCTTTTAGGGTGGCCTGTTGGACCCACAGTGGCCTGTGGTGGCTACTCCTGTTAGCATCTGTCCACAGCCATGGAAGGGTGTAGGGTGTGGGGGGAGATGGGGGATGCAACTGGGCTTTCTGTGCACCGGACATCCTAGTCACATGTCCTGAGCTGACCCCATGGCTAGAAGGGAAGGCCCTGTATGGACTGTGTTCATGGGTGTGTTGGTCCTGTGCAATGGCTGAAATTTTAAATTTTTAGTGCTAATTGCTTATTATTCAATGCACTCCATATAATTATGGCTAACGAGTGTGCTAGAAAGCAAAATCAGGCTCTCGTGGCCTAACAGGGGAGCTGCTTTGCAACAAGGCAGTGCTTGCACGTTCCAGAGATAGAGATGGGTTGTTGTTTTTGGAGTTTTTTTGGGTGGAGCAGGGGAGCAGGGAGTATCTAACGAACCTTCATAGTTGCATGGTTTCATACCTGAGGAGAGAAGCAGGCCCATTTCCCTTGTATACAAAAGATAAGAGTGCAGCTGCATGGATGAACCTGTCCTGGTACCTAAAAGTCCCAATTAAGGATGGAAAGATTTGAGTGATATTATTTATCACGCATCCTACCAGATGCCTGGTGCAGGCAACACACGTGGATAGTACCCCCATTGGCTGGACAAAGTACATTGGACTGGATCAGCAATGAATTAGCACCAATTAAGTACACAATGGAAAAAGGTATATAACACTGGGGAGGAGTGAAGAGAGGGGGTGTTCGGGTGAGACCACTGCAAACTGAAGCAAGAGACCCAAAGAAGACGACCCTGTGCAGGCCAGATGTCCATCTTCCCGTGTGCATCCCTGGGGCACAGTGTGTGGTGAGAGCTCTTGCTTGCTTGCTAATTATCACAGGCTGTTCCTGTGTGCCCATAAAGGACGCTGTGAGGTCCAACGATACCTGCCTCGAACCGTGGCCAGGACACGGCGGGCAGCATCTGCATCCACGCGGTGCAGTGCCTCGGGCAGCAGGCCCTGAGCCCACTTCTGTCTCATATGGCAGCCAGGCCCAGGCCCCCCTGTCTGGATCTGGCTGGAGAGGAATGGCTCCAGGGCTTCAACTCCCTCCTCTGCCACTGACTCCCTGTGTGCCCAGGGTCAAGTCACGCCATCGTGCTGTCCTACCTCTTGGACACCAACACCCTGAGCCTTTTTGGGGGAGGATGAGGTGCTTGGCCGTGGAGGTGCAGAAGATGATGTCCCTGCACTGGGCTATAATAAACAAGGGAGGTGGGAGTGGAGGGCAAGGTGACCTGCCAAGTCCTCCATGCCTCGGTACCCGCTGGCGAGGCCTTTGCCTGTCTGATCCCAGGCCGTGCTCTTCCCTCTGAGGCTGCTTGTGGCAGCGGTTGTAATTTAAAGCGGCTCCCTAACTACAGAGACTGAGGAAGGGGGTAGCTGGTGGAAGATAACCCCTCGGTTAAGTAGCTAGTTGGTCAGAGACAGACAAAAGGCCTGGAAGAGGTTGCCTCCTGCTCCACACACAGGGTTGGTGGGCTGGTTTTCTCATTGCCTGGATGCCCGTGTTTTATTGCACCTGGTGATCGCTATCATGTGGTTCCCCCACATTTGCCCCTGGCATGGACGTGACCCCTGGGCACTGGGTGCAATTCGCTTCGAGGGCTTTGCACTTTGCTGGCTGCTTTCAGCATGGAATAACTCGGAGCTGCAGGTTTCCCCTTGGACTTCACCCCTCCTCCTCTCTCCATAGGAGTCGGGTCTGCCTCAGCCCCATCTCTTTTGTTCTCCTCCAGGTCTCTTGGTCCTATCCTGCCACCCCTGCCTCAGTTTCCCCCCTGCAGCTGAGCCGAAGGGGTGGATTCAAGGCGAGGAGGAAGCGCGGAGCTCTGAACTGGACTTTATTTCTCTCTAGACTGAAAGTAAATCAGCAGTACAAATAGATTTTGGCATGAGAAACGGGTAACCTTGGTCTGAGGGGACTGGGTCCTTTCCTCCCCTCGGTGTCTTAAGGATGAGAGATGCTGAGAGCAAAATTTCCCAGGGTCATCGCCTCCCCCCCACCCATCCCACCCCACCACACCCTCCAGGCCAACGAGCCTTGGCCTTTGAGACGGATAGAGTTGTATAGATAGGATGAAGACAGCGTCCTGCTGGGTAATAAATATCCTCTTCCTGTATCTAACCGTATGTACAGGTCGTCAAGTATTCGAAACGCGGGCGTCTCTCGGGGAGAGGGGGGACGCGGGGTTGCACAGCAGCGGGCGTGCTGCATCCTCGGGCTGCTCCGTGTCGTGGGGGAGAGGGGATAAAAATCACGGCTCAGTGCAGCCGCCCCCGGCACGGCGGCAGGGTTCCTGGGAAAGCTGTGCGGGGGCACCCAGCGCGGTTGTCGCACCCCCAGTGTGTGCTCCGCCTGCAAGAGTGTGCTCCCAGTGCTTTTAGTCCTGACTGCACATGTGTGCACATCTGTGGAGGGAGGCTTTCTGGGGCCCAGGGTTGGAGGGGGAAGGGGCTAGGAGGGCGGGCGGGACTGGGGAGCAACTTTAGCTCTGCAAAATAGCAGCCTGGACTGCTGTGGGGCAGTGCTGGAGCTCCAGGCCCAGCTCCTTTCCTCTGCTGCCCACGGGTCATGGTGATTTGGGGTGAAGTGCTGTGTCCGGGCCTTTCCCACCCTCCTCTGCATCCCCGAGGCAGATTTCCCTCTTGCAACCAAAGGGTGGCTGGCCTCTTCCCGGTCCCATCTGCTTCCATAAATCAGCTGGGTAATGGGCAAGGGTTGCCCTCCGCTATGCCCTCTCCCTTGAGATTGCAGCTTCCATCGCAGCCTGGAGCATGGAGCTGGCCTGGTAGACAAGTGTGTTTAGCTGCCTGCCAGCCAGGGGCTCTGGCTGCCCTTCTCCCCCCGACAAGGACCACTCAAATCCCAAGCTTTGGACCCAGATCCAGCTTGGGCTGCAGTTTGGCTGGTTGAATGCATCCCTCCTTCCACCGCCCCTGTGAATGCCGCGGCTCCCCCAGCCACAGACCTTTGCCTTGCATCCTGAAGCAAGGTGCCTGGCTCATGCCTCCGCCCCGGTGCCAGGAAACATGATACGGGTCCTGCTTTGTGTCTGCCTTGTTTTGCTCTCCTGGGTAGCGGTGGGGTCACTTGGCGGACCGCAGCGTGTATGCCAACGCCCGGAGGGGCCGCGCAGACTTGTTTACTATTCTAGAGCTGCCAGGACCTGACAACCAGTGAGACTTGCCATCCTAGTCGCGGCCCCACAGCCGTGAGGGATACAGCAGTGGGCAAGCTGGAGGCAGGCATGTATTAAATAGGGCAATGTCTGGCAGGTTTCTCTCTCCCGTACCCTCCCAATGCACTAGGGTTTGGACGTCCCGCCTTGTGAGATGGGGGCCTGGCGGGAAGCCTCTAACATCAGACCTGGTTTCTCCTGCTACGTCCTGGACTGGATCTCCAGGGGATGCTCCCTGAGCTGAGCTGGAAGAACGGGTTGCTTGCAGCCGGCCGTGCGCTCTCCTTGCAAACCAAGCCAACAGCCTCCTGGGTGGCACGAACAGGAGCATCACTTGCAAACCAAAGGCAGTGCTTCTTCCCCTCTATTCGGCACTGCGGAGGAGCCCCGTGTCCCGTTTTGGGCCCTGCACTGCAAGAAGGACTTGGACGGGTTGGGAAGAGTCCCCTCACGGGGCATTAAATGGATCGAGGGCCCCGGGAGGCACGACTGATGGGGAAAGGCTACAAGAACCAGGGCTATTTAGTTTGACTTTGGGGGCTAGGGGGTTGCTAACAGTCTTTAGATACCTGAAGGGTGGTTAGAGGGAAGATGGAGATGGGCTGGAGGGGACAGGACTGGGAGCAATGGGTTTCAATTGCAGCACAGGAAATCGAGGGACTTTCTGAGTCTGCGTGTGGTTCAGGGTGCCCAGAGAGAGGGGAATCTGCCCCCTTGGAAGTGTAAAAGAGTAGGACAGATGGACGCTGGGATGGGCAGGGTCCAGGCAGGGGGTTGGATTAGATATGATCTCTTCAGGGCTCCCCACACTACCATCTTGCTGGAAAAACCCAGCCCGCGGGGGCTGTCTGCAAACGGTGCCTCCTTGGAGCTTGCCCTCCCCACTGGGGTGCTCTGCAGGATGGTTTTGGGGGGCGAGATCCTCTTCTCTGGGGCAAGAGGCTGCTTCCAGGAGACCCTGGGGGGCTTGGCAGAGCAAGAGCAAATGGAGCTGGGACCTGGGCATCATCCTGCCCTGATGGAGGCATGAGAGGTAGTTGCCAGATGAAATTGGGCAGGGGGCACCCAGCCTCAGTGCCAGCCTCGGACCCGTGCTACGGGCTGAGGGCAGTGGAAGAGCTGTGTGATATCTCCTGCTTGGCTCTCCCATCCTGTTGGACGGGATCACCACCTGTCCAGGTGCCTGTGAGGGGCTGGGGATGTTTCCAAAGTGCTTGTAGACTCAAGTGCAAGGAAAGACACCCCCGGGGAAAGGAGGTCTGGTTTTGGGATGCCTCTAAGCCTGGCTCAGAGTGGGGCCTGGCTGGCTCTGGGCATCCCCACACCCGGCTACAGCCCTGGAAAAGCCCAGACAAAGCATTTTGACTCCCTGATCCTTCCCCAGCCCAGCAGACAGGCTGCCAGGGACAAGCTTGGTGCAACGGGCACATCCGATACCCCCGTGCCGGAAACTGCCCCTCACAGCTCTTCCCATCTGTGCCCAGAGAAGACCACCGGCAACGACCCCTGCCTTCAAACCCACCCACCGCCTCTTAAACCAGACCCTGGAGGCAGCCTCGCCCCTACGTGCATGGAGGCGGGCAGGGTGGGTACCACGCCAAGCCCCCCGGGGATCTGTGTCCGCACTTTCCCGGGTCTCCCCTCTCTCACGTCTCTTGCAGGGCAGCTCCTTGGGTAGACAGGATGCAATTAAAAAGCCCCCCCACCAGCCCTTTTGTCCAGCCCCCACTTCCCAGCCAGACCTTTGCAGCTGGCTACGTGACTCCCGGCCTGTCATCTGCGGCGCGCAGCAGGGTCACGTGAGTAGGAATATAAAAACCTCCTGCCTAAGCCCCTCTTAGCCTGATTCGCCCGGTGATGCATGCGCGGCTCTTAGCCGGGCTGGCTCTGCGGCCCTGAGACCTACTATTTTCCCCCCGCTTTTGCTGATGCTAGTGCCACAAGCCCAGGGGGACGGCACGGGTAGGGGGGGATGCCAGGCGGATGAGCCGGGGCTGCTAGGCTCAGTGATGCTCAGCAGAGGTAGAGCCCGCGCGGAGGCAGGACTCGCTCCCTGGGGAGGAGATGTCTCGCTATGGGAAGTAGGAAGCCCCTCTCCCTGCCTGTCTGCCAGCCCCATGCCAATGGCACGTGTCCCCTCCAGCTTTGCCTCGTGGGCCGAGGACTCACAGGGGATGGGACTGAGGTGCGTGGTTGCAGAGAGCGGGGAGATTGCTCCAGTGCCTTGTGTCTGCAGTGGGCTGAGCTGCATGTGCAGCCAGGAGGGGCATGCACAGCCTCTTGCACGCATGAGTGTGCACACACACACGCGCATGCACACACACACTCGTGCAGCACTCTGTCACAGCCGCCCATCTACTCTGAGAGTGTGCAATGACCTCTTGCATGGAGGGTGAGGGGGCTCCCTATGGGCGTGGGGGGATGGGGACTGTCCCGGCCGGGGTGGGCAGGGAAAGGGCCACGTGCCACCTGGCAGGACCCGTGTACATCCCTGGCGGCATTCAGAGAAGACGCCGCGGCGGAGGTATGGCTGGAGAGACGCGGGCGCACGCGGAGCCTGCTTCACATTTTGTGGAGTGGCTGCAACTGGAGCAAGAGACATCCTCTCCCCCGTGCAAAGAACCAGTGCACACAGCTCCGTGTGTCCCTGCACATGCATGTCCGTTTGCACACGCAATAGCACGTGCTCTGCTTGGCCGCCGGCATCGATGTATTCCTGCCTCTGTCGGCGCCGGATAAATCGGCGGGGAGTCCCCCAGCTTCGCCTCACCCCGGAGGGCACTGGTCTTGGACACGTTTTCCTCCGGGGTAGGGTCCCTGGGCCCGGGCACGGTTACACGGAGCTGCGGCGCTTCATGAGTCCCGGGAAGGCCGCGAGGCTGTGGAGGCCCGTGGAGACGGAGCTGATGGCCGAGCGCTGGGCGTTGCAGAAGCAGCGGTTGGAGGCGGTGTCGGGGTAGCGGCCGGGCGAGGCGCGGCTCTGCTCCACGCACGTGTCCGAGGTGGACAGGTCCCGGGGGATGATCATGGGGATGGAGTACTGCAGCTTCTCCCGGCTCTTGTACCACAGGCAAGAGCACATGGACTGGAAATGCAGCACCTCGGCGTAGACGTTGCGGAAGCCGCCCCTGCCGCCCCCGCCCGCCGCCGGGGTGGAGGAGGCCGTGTCCGTGGTGTGGACGCTGCTGGCCTGGCCGTTGCGGGTCAGCAGAGCCCGGTGCTCCGCGTCCCGCTTCTCGTCCTCGGCGTTCATGGTCATGAAGCGCAGCACGACCAGGTTGAGGAAGGCCCCGATGACCGTGAGCCCCGTGAGGATGTAGACGAAGCTGAAAGCCACATACTGCGGCTTGGTCTGCAGCGCCCCGTCCTTCTGCAGCGCCACGTAGTCCCCGAAGCCGATGGTGGTGAGCGTGATGAAGCAGTAGTAGTAGGCGTGGAAGAAGCTCCAGTGCTCGTAGTAGGAGAAGGCGGCGGCCCCGATGCACAAGGTGCTGATGCAGGAGAAGAAGCCGATGGTCACCATGTTGGCCATGGACACCTCGGCCTGCCGCATGCCCAGGCACTTCTTCATGCGGTGCAGCAGGTACTTGACGAAGGTGTTGATCCTCTCGCCCAAGCTCTGGAACATGACCAGGGTGAGCGGGATCCCCAGCAGGGCGTAAAACATGCAGAAGACCTTCCCGCCGTCGGTGCTGGGAGCTGCATGGCCGTACCCTGCGGGGCAGAGACACAGCGCCGGTGCGGTTAGTCCCCTCCAGGCACCTCGCGTCCCCCTGCCTCCCCTCCTTGGGCTCGCTGCAGAGCCAGGCCCATCCCCAGCAAAGGGCGACCCGTATGGGGACAGCGATGGGCAGCTTCCCCTGCATTAAGAGATCCCAAGTCCATCCTGCCCAGGAGTAAAGAGCAGAGGCTGGGAGGAAGAGGGAGCTGGGTCTGAGCAGGGTTTTCCCCTCCTAATCCTCACCCACTTGCAGCCTCCAGCATTTGAGGTGGGATGCAGAGGCCGCACCCCTCGCTCCCTGCTCAATAACAACCGATGCCCCTTTCCTCCAAGCCCGTGTCCAGTCCCTGTTTGCATCTGGCTGAACTCTCGGCTCCCAGCACATCTGGCAGCATTGAGCCCCGACTTTAATGACACGCTGGGTGGAAAAGATCTTCCTAGCATTAGTTGTAAACTTCAGCCCTCCTTGTTTCATGGTGTGACCCCCTCATTCTTGTCTGGAGAGAGACAATTGCTAATAAATCCCTACTGACTTTTTGTTCACCATGTAGTATTTTGTAAACACTTCTCCTGACCCCCAAGGGTCTCTTTTCTAATCCAAACGGGCCTGGCCTCATTAGTCTCTCCACACATGAGAGGCCCTCTATGCCACTCATCCCCCTTGTTGCCTTTCTCTGGACCGGTGCTACCAGGCTATCGATTCCCTCAGCTCCCTGGAGAGTAATACCCGAGCTGCTGCACCGAGGAGCAGTATCTTGGGCAAAAGATCTGCTTCATTGCTAAATGTACACACCCCAATATTGGGAGGCTGAGTTGGCAAGGAAAGATGCCTGTTATAAGTGAGAAAATACGGTAATGCAGCCCCTGGATATTCACCCCTCTCGACCTGTGCTAAGACGACTAGTGTTTGCAGCGTCCAGACAGGCCTCGGGGCTTGGCACCGACAGACGGAGGGGAGGGCAGATCCTGACCCACCCAGCCTGCTCAAAGCCCTGAGAAACAGATAATGCCGAAGGTGGAGGGTGCTGTCTGCACCAGTTGGACTAGGAGGTAACAAATAATCCTTCCTGACCCCAAATATAGCATGGACTTGACCCTAAGCGGAGGGCCAAGACCCTCTAGCTAGGACCCTGCGGGGTTGAAGCCAGCACAGCCCATCAGCCCCGTGGCCCCAGACACCCCAGCTGAGTTCAGAGCCTCCTTGCTCTGTGCACGGTCCTTACACCCGGCCAGGCTCCATCCCCATCGCGAGGCCTTTATAATCAGAGTGGACAAGGCAGGCATGGAGAGCAGGCACAGAGGTGCAGCGGCCATCGCAGCCTGAATGATTGCAAAAGGTTCATCATCTGAGCTGCTTCACTGGCAGCTGGTGGCAGCATCCTGGTCCTGCTGGCACAGAGTAATTACAGACGGCTGCACAGGCTAAGAGGATAACCTGACCTCTGGGGAGCGAAGAGGAGAAGGCCATAAACCCCACCTCGGCGTGTTTGCAAAGCAACGAGAGCCACGGCGGCTGGGCAGAATCGAGATCTATGGATCATGCGGCTGTCTCTGGGGTGTGTCATTAACACGCAGTGATTGCAGACCCTTTTTTGCAGTCAGTGGTCGAGCATCCACTGGCTGGGATATCATCAGGGCTGTTAGACACCCCTGGGCACCACAATACTTGAACTGAAGCAGGGTCAAGCGATCTGGCACTGTCCACACTCTTAGCTACCATCACCAGGTCTGCTAGCCTCACTGGCCCCAGACGTGGGTCTGCCTTTTGCAGCTGCCCCTGATCTCAGGCTCCAAACATGCCTCTGAATTTGGGGGGCTAGCCCCCAGATCTGGATCAGACAGTCCCTTGATGAAGTCAGTATATACACACGTCCACCTGGCCCTTGCACAGCTCTGGGGGGTCTCTGCCCCTTCCCACAAATGCTCGGTAGCGCCCTGCTACCACAGACGTCCCCCATGGGTGTGTGTTTGCAAAGTGACCTGCAGCTCCATCACATGACTCCATGAAGTCGGTCACATTATTTAAATACCACTTGTTTGGTTTTTTTGCATCCAAATTTGGCCATTTCTCCCACCACAAAACACTCCCCTGGCTTCTGAGTTTCAATTAAAAGTGGGGAATCAGTGTGAAAAGGCTTAGCCTGGTGGGGTCCCATCAGGTGGACAGCTATGGGCACATCAGACACTGGCTAGTCACAGACTCAGAGGGCTCACAGGCAGCTCCAGAGGTCACGTCTAGTCCAACCCCTGCCTGAGGCAGGATCAGACCCCAGCAAACCAGCCCGGACACATCCAGAATCACAGAAATCATAGAAATCCTAGAGAAATGGGGCTGGCAGGGACCTGCAGAGGTCACGTCTAACCCGACCCCTGCCTGAGGCAGGGTCAGCCCTGTGCAAACCAGCCCAGATGCATCCCTTATCTTCCTCTTTCCAGCTGCGGGGAGCAATTCTCTTTCTCAGAGCAATCAAGGAAAGGGGAGTGTTTCATTTTGGACATGAATAGAGTCATTATTGGATTTTCCTTGGGGTACAGCAGAGCCAGAGAGTTGCTAAGGGGCTGAGCAGAGAGACGCCTGCCTGGCTGGGAAACCAGCGGGACCATTCCCCCTCCTCTTCGGTGTCCAGATCCCTTGTATCCGGCTCTTGCAGATGCCTGAGTGTCAGCCTAAAAAATTTGGTTTTTTTCTGGCTGAAATAAGAAGGCAAGTGTTGCTTCCTTTCATAGGAACTGGCTGGAAGAAAGCAAAGGACAAGGAGGGCTGGATGCACCACCCTGCCCCGAGAGAAAGGGTCTCCCCACTTAAACGACTGGTCTGACTACTCATCCAAGGCATGATTAGTATTATTTTTTTAAATTTAGTTAAAAAAATAAGTTCCAAATTTTGACTGAGCAGAGCTCAATCATTCAAGTCTGTAAAGTGCTACCATGAGCAAGCCCCAGATACTTCAGCCTGGGGCTTCAGATACTCCCAAATCCACAGCACAGCTTGTCCTGTCACCTGCCCCCGCTGAGAACAGCTATAATCTGCTTAATAAAAACTACCATCAGTCCTGACACAAGAAAAGAAATCACACCCGAACCTGCCACAGGTAGAGCAAGGGGATCCTTGCAAATGTCAAACACATTGGGACCCATTTTTGTTGCAAAATATATTCCTGGCTGGGAAAAAACAAAACAAAACAATTATTTCCATGGGAAAATTTCCAGCCAGCCCTCAGGGGACATGACCAAGGCCATGGGGGCAGTCAGTAGCAGGGCTGATGGTATGCCGTGGAGCATAATGGGCTCATAGAAATCATAGAAAAGTCAGGCTGGATGAGACCATCAGAGATCATCTAGTCCAAGCCCCTGTGAGGGTTAGCGAGCCCGAGGTCCTGTCTAGCTGTGCACCGCTCCGGGGCTGAAACCCAGGAGTCCTGACTCCCAGCCCTGTGCTGGAGAACGGTTTGGGACCAAGTAGCTCTGACGCAGCCCATGGGGCCGCATTGCACCAGGGAGTATATGTCTTCTTGACCTTAAAAGTGGGTCAGCGTGTGCCTGGGAGCAGGAGGATGGATGGCTCCTGGGATCCTGTTCTCACCCGCGTCACGGCGGAGGCTGTTTCTCTGCCCATCGGTGCCTATGCATTGGTCTCACTCCAAGGCTGCTTTTATTTGATTATTATTGTATTATTTCCCTGCTCTGAAGCAGTCGGCTCCCCAGACTCTGCCTGCCGGCTCCCCAGAACCAGGCCCTGATCCCTTGCACTGGTTATTGATGGCAGGAGCTGGCTGGTCTGTAAACGGATGGCTCTACGAGGGAGCAACAGGGAGAGGCCGTGCCTGCAGGACCTGGCAGAGCAAGGGTGCAGGAAGCCACTGGTGTCTATGCTCAGCCCCACTGAGCACCTTGACCCCTGTCCCCATCACTGCTTGGTGGGGTGCGCTGATGGGCCTGAATGCGGACACACAGCAGCTGGGAGCTTCCCCGTGGAGCAATCCCGTACCCCCGGGGCTCCTGGGCACTTACCCATCTTGCCACCTCCCCTCTCCCTTCCCTGTCTGGCTCTCATGGCAAAGGGGGGCACCCTGCAGAAGACAGGCAAGACCCCAGTGCCCAGATCTAAAATCGGGGCCGAGTTAGATCAGGCCTTTTAGCACCAAGCATCCAGGCTGGGTCAAGGACTTGGAGCTGACCTGCCACTCGTTGGTAACAGTCCAATGGTTCATTATCCTCCCTGCTTATTTCCAGCCGGAGCAGAGAGCGCATCCACCGTGCAGGGCTGCAGCACGGTGCAGACATGCCAGCTCTATCTATCTATCTATCTATCTATTTTGTGGTATATATTTGTGTGTGTGGTTACACACATGTGTACACATACAGGACCTGTACACAACCCTGCAGGGATACATATGTACACCTAAATATACATATATGTTAGTTTGAAGTCAATTAGAAGCAGGGTAGAATTGCACCTTATAGACTAACTAAAATAGATGCATCTATCTATCTATCTATCTATCTGACTGTATTCACCCCCTCCAGCTACACTTCTCCAGCCCTTCAAGGGAGTTGCCAACCTCAGTGGGTCCAGCCCCCCCACATATGGGAATCCCCATTCCCCAGTGGGGAAACTGAGGCACACAGCAACCAAGGGCTGGCTCTTTAAAAGGCATCTGGACCCCTGTCCCCATCGCTGCTCGCCAGACATATAGCCTTCCCCTTAGTCACTGATTTCTCTTGAGCCCAAATAAATCCCCCCACCCCAGCAGGCTCCCCTCTACCCTGTGCCCCCATCCAGATCTGGGTGCAGGGAACAAAAGGCCCCGATGGCACCTTCTCCTGACCCAGTCTCACCTGCTGCCTGCTCTGTCACCTCCCCAGGTGGGCAAACAGGCAGCGAGAGCTGCTAGGAAAGACGCTGGGGGCAAGGGCTGCGTCCCCTGCTCCTGCTGATTTCCTGCTTTCTGCACATAGCGTCTGTGCAGAGGAGGAGGTGGCCGGGGGGCTG